TTTGCTTTCTCAGCATTTTAGTTTAATGTCCCTTTAAAGAAACAAACATGGACCTGTTATCCCGAGGCTTATTTGTAATGTTCAGCTTAAACTCCGAAAGCTGAAGCGTAGCATCGATCACGCCGCATTTTACTGATTATGTCAGAAAATGCTATTTGCATTTCTGAATACTGAATTAACAAAATGTAGGTCAACTTTGGGTTTTGTGTTTTTGTTTTTTTTTTTCTTAAAGGCACTTAAACTTTGGAACACATCAGTTAAATCACTGCACTGAAACCAGCATGAATTGAGGAGGCACCACGAAGAAATGATCGCGCCGCAGCTTAAAGACACCGACCGAAAATTCAATATTCATGAAAATTATCATTCCTGTTACTGCCAGGGCACTTCAGCCTGTTAAATGCGACCTTAAATCAAATCTTGGGTTACTACAGGTTACTACAGTCTCCTTGGAACATAAAACCTACTGTATGGTCACTCTGGTTTCATATAACAGCTATGCCATTAGTTAATGATTTAAAATTTTACCCTCTGCGAGTAATTCACATTCCACTGCAGTGCCCGAGTGGTTTCCACAACTTTTTTTTTTCCCCCTCCCTAAATTGCTACTTTAACACTAAAATTCTGAAGTTAATATTATAAAAATCTGTTGAGACAATGTCTCAGGATCATTAACATATGTTCAAATGTTTGAGTGCTCTGAATCCTGGTGATGTAATGGCAAAAAAAGTACATTCAAAATATTTTCAGCTATTTTCAAAATGTTTTTTTTTTTATTGAAGACACGATTAAAGACACTTATTTTGGCTTCTAAATTGAGATCTTCAGAACTTCTTCTTTAAAATCATAATGAATATTGGTCTCGCTGGTGGTTATTCCAATTTTATTTGAAAGAAAAGAAGGCAAAAAAGTTTGTTTGTGGAAACATCCTCGGGGACTCACTGTGATTAAAAAAAATTACAATGGTTTAGGTTCCGCTGTGAACCTCTTTCATATAATTTATTGCATAAGAAAATACACATTTCTAGGGACACTAAAGCATTCAGTTTAAACTCTAAACAACTGAAAATAGATGCCCAGCTGACAATTTTTACAGAAGTCAGGAAAAATTTTCCCTGAAGAAAGAAAACAAACCACCACAGCCTGAAGGAGGTACCTGAAGGACTGGACTAGTATTACACCACTATTTAACTTGGCACATGGAAACAGCCAAGAATCTGCATCATTTATGAGGATCAAATTAAAGCATTTAGGCAAAAAAAGGGAAATTCCCTTCTTTGGGCTGGATGTCTGTTGCCCATCCGTGACCACGCTCTCAATGTTACACTCAATGCAAGGGCCTGTCAGCACTGCTCTGTTTTCTATACATTTAACCATATAGATCTTGCATTACAGGTCTCTGTTCAACTAATAATAAGAATTAATGCTTTCCTTTAGAAAATAAACAGTTGATTTTATCTGTAGAATTAATTACATAGAAAACCATCAGATTTTCATTTTTCCTTTGTAGCTTTTATTTATATTTTTTCTTAGTTGCTCACACTTATCTCTCTTATAACAAACCCCCTTTCACGTATTTATGTCTCCATTTTAATTTCAAATTACAAGTCTTGGTTATGTTTCCAATTCCCAGAAGTGCCAGATGATCACAACTACTATTTTTGTTACTTAAACAACTAACAGGGAATTAAATTCTCTACGGATTCAGTGTTCAAAATATTTTCAAGCACCTACAAATCTCTGCTAGTTGGGAGAACCCAAGTTTCTGTTTCCCAGAACTAATTTGACAACATAGGAAGGGACCAAAATCCTCCAGCAGCACGAACACCACAGGCATTTGAGAACATTACAATAATAATAATAAAAAAATATGGTTGTAGCAAACCTTCCATGCTCAGCTTTCATTTTGACAGACAACTAAATCCAGTGCACCACCGTGTGGCAACATATTAGGGAATGGTTCACATACCAAGATCTGTTTTTTTCCACCTTCAAAAATTTGCTGCAATTTGGTAAAAAATAAACATTAACAAATCCATCTTAGAATGTTCCCCTTTAACAAGGTGTCACAGCTTCACTTATCTCAAGAGCTACTTTTTAATACATCTGGGCTAGCAAGAAAATACTTGGGCATTTTTATTCATAAAGCTTGTTATTTACCTAAAAACAGAACTGCCCCAGGACCAGAGAACCAGCTCTGTTTCTTGCCAACGGTGCTCCCTTGCACAGGAGAAATTTGGCATAAGCCTGTACTGCACATCGACCTCCTTTTAAAACATAAATGCATTTTTAAAAAATAAATCAGGCTAAATGCTGGACTCACATCTGATCAAAAGCTTCAAAAAAATCTTGGGAGAAAAATCAAAACCTTGAAGGTAGACACATGCATTATTTAGCAGCTGCTCAGCTACTGTAAAACTGCTTCTCTCCAGTTCAACAACAGGAAAATAAATTCATTTTTTCCCCTCAAGAAACAGCAACAGAAGGTCTCAAAAACCCTAAGAAAACACTGATTCCCCAAAGCCACCACATGCCACTTAGTACCCTGGAATTTATTTCTGCAGCCAAACACTAAAGTCGGAGGAAAAAACAGGTTTTCATTAAACTGGACAGCCCTGGCTCACACAGCACAGAGCTGCTGTATTTCAGACTTTAGGCTCAGGTGATCCTTGATTTCGTTAAACAAAGAGTTAATTCATGATGCCTCAACATATTTGTTAGCCATTTTGTACCAGTACATTTAGTTCACTCGGAATTAGCAGGGAGGACTCTCTCAACACCGGTCTCTTGTTAGGAACCTTATCAGTATTCCCATCTCTGCTCCGGGCGCTCTCGCAGCTCTACGGACCTAAAGGCTTTGCTAGAAGTGTGAAGAAATCCGACGGAAAACTGGGTGACGTGATCTGTAACCACGCCAGGAAGGCAGGTAGAGCAACGGGTTTTCACCAGCTCCGTACCTCGAGCACTGGGAAAACCTGTAGTGGAAGAGGTTGGAGCAAGCAGCGCGCTCCTTCCAGAGCCCAGCACGGACAGACCCGCTGTTCTCTTCCTGCAAAAGTTGCTCTGGAGTGATCTGACAGTCTCACCACAGAGCACATCGTCAAACCAGTGCACGCACTTTAACCACAATAAAAAAAAACCACCCCAAAACCAGAAAAAAAGGTAATTCACCTCCTGCATGAAGATGACGCTGGAGTTCCCTTGTCTCCCAACTCCAGCTTCCCCCTCCTTCCCCTCTCCCCCCACCCAGCCTTGCTAACGCACAGCCTGAAAAGCCCCTACTCTGCAATGAATACCATTTTCTGCCAAAGACAAACCAATAGCAAGAACACAATGCACATTATGCAAGTTACTGCAGAGTTATGCAAGTTAGATGCATATTTTTGCTCGCTCTACCAAGGACTCTGAAGCCACTTGTTTGATGTGGATGCTTACTCTTATTTTGAGCTGTCAAATCTTCCCCTACTTGTCTCAACTGGCTTTTTTTACACTCAAACTTCAAGCAGCTGCTACTGATACTAATGAAGCCCTTCCACTACTTACAACAACACAGGCCATTAAGACCACGACAACATCCGAGCAAAGTATCCCGCACATCCACCCCAAACCAAGTCTTAGGCAGAGCAGAGCACCTTACTGTAGATACCTCACGCTCCACATTGCCAAAACAGAGGAAAACACGACAAATCCCTTGAGACAAACCAGGCCTCGTGGTGGAAGTATCACCTCACAAGTGACAGGAATTAAAGAGAGTTCCATGAACACTCCTATGCTGAACAAATAAATAATTTTTTGTTCAAACAACCCCCAACCTCGTGGCTTTTTTTTTTTTTTTTTTTAATAAATATACCTTCACACTTCTGCAGGTAGCACCGGTGAAGTGAGAAGAGAGATATTTCAGGTACGGCCTCTCAGTCAAAGGTAACAGAGCAACTTCAACAATATGGGACCCCTCCCTATTTACAAGACGAGCCACACAAAAATGGAAGCTTTTTGGACACGAAATCCATCCATTTTAGGGCAAGGTATATCAATCTACCATTTTTAGAAGACCACTCGAAGGTTTTACCGTACCTACCAGGGAACATGGACACTATTTCTAATTTCTGTCCTTTCTCCCCTATTTACCAGGACTGCCTGCAACAAAGCATAAACTTGACATCCAAGTAACTTCCCAAATCCACACACAGCTCCCCAGAACTTGAACCCTGCTGCTCACCCCGTACCTTGCCCACCACCAGACGCAAGGACACAACCACTTAAAGCCCCAAGACCGCTCCGAGCTTCCAAAAAGAAACAAGGTTAAGGGCACTTCATCAACACCCAGACTTTTGACGGAAGCACCTCCTTCGGCCAGGCTGGATTCATCTCATTTAGGAGCAAAACACAATCCAGGCACGATGCCTTACACAGGCAACAACTATTTATCTACCGAGCAAACAGAGCCGCTTTTAAAAGTAGCGCGTATCTCCTCCTGAGAAGCACAAATATCCTCCAACAAACCTGAAAGCCACACATTCTGAAATGTGAGGCAGGAAAGAACACAGGAAAGCAGAAAGAAACCTGGAATTTTTTATTTTGCTTTAAAAAAAAAAAAAAAGGAGGGGAAAAAAAATTTAAAATCTTAACAGCTGAGATTTCAAAGCGTTCCAACACACCCAGCACAGGTACCCCTCCCCTGAAACGGGGCACTAACGGCACAGTGACCACCGTACAAAGTTACCTCCCCCAACCTCGAGGAACAAGAGCATTTTATTTAAATGACCGATTAAACTTGGCATTTAAACACTCTAACAAGTTCTCGGCTGTATCCAGTAAGCAAATTCAGAGACATTCATGCAAATACCTTCACCCCACAAGCAAAAAACCAACCCAAACCCAACAAGCCCTCCTCTATTCCCAGTAGCCTGGAGAGGATTATACGGTCACTGAAGAATGCGATTTTAAGCGGAGGGCGGGGGGGGGGAATAATCATAGAGAAAAGAGAGAAGGTAGCTCACCTTTATCCTGAGTGCAGGACAGGATCTCCTCCTCTTTGGGGTTAGTCACCTGGGTGATAATGGACGGGTTGTCCATGGAAACAGAGTGAGATTCCACCTGGCTATTTCCCTCCCAGAGGCAGGCGTGTGTGCGGGGCGGGAGTGGGGAACGGGGCGGGAGGGGGGGGCGGGTTGGTTGGTTTGTTTGTTGGTTTTTTTTGTTTTTCAAAAAAAAAAAAAAAATCAATACGCGGGTTTGTATTTAAAAAATAAAAATTAAACAAAAAAAAAAAAAAAAAAAAAAAAAAAAAACGGAAAAAAAAAAAAAAAAAGGCAGGGAAAAAAAAAAAAAAAAAAAACAACAACCACCCCAACTAACTCCTCCAGGAGCGAAGCCAAGGGGGTGGGGGTGAAGGGGGGAGCACCGCGCTGCCACCGCCGCCTCCTCCTCCTCCCGGCGCCAATTCTCCGCGGCGGCGAGGGGGGGGAAGCAGCGCAACCCCCCCCTTAAAAAAGAAAAATAATAATAAAAAAAAAAACCAATACCGGGATTAATCCCAATTCACCCTTCCGGGAAGCCCCTCCGAGCGCTTCCCCACCCCACCCCCCCTCCCCTCCGAGCCCCCTCCGCCGCCGCCTCCCGAGGCGGGGGAAGAGCCCCCGTCCCTGCGCTCCGCTCCGCGCCTCCCCCCGCGGCCTCACGCCGCCCCCCGCATCCACCTGAGCCGCCCCTACATCACCCCCCCCTGCCGCCCGCCCCCGCGCTTATCTCATCCCCGCGCCCCCCTTCCTCCCGCCGCTCGCCGGGCCGCCCCCTCCTCCTCCTCCTCCTCTTCCTCCTCCTCCTCCCCCCGTTCTCCCGGTGGCGGGCGAGGAGGGAAGCGCGGCGCGAGGGGAGGAAGGGAGGGGAAAGGGGCCGAGCCGCTCCCGCGCTGCGCCACAACCCGCCGCCGCCTCCTCCTCCTCCTCCTTCGCCGCCGCCGCGCCCGGAGCCCCGTGAGCGCGCCCGGCCCGCCCCGCGCCGGGTCCCGAGCGAGGGGCGGGAGCGGCAGCGCCCGCGGAGCGCGGTAAACAACGGGGCGGGCCCGGGGGAGGGGACACGGCGGTACAAAGGGGAGGGGAGTGCCCGGGGGGCGGGCGGTGCTTGGGGCCGTGAGGGCGCGGGGTGGGCCGGGCTGGGCTCGGCTCGGCCCGGCCGCCATTTCCCGCCCGAGGGTGCGCGGGAAAAGATAAATCGGGGAATCGCGGGGTTGTTTTGGCTGGGGAAGAGCTGCGGGACCGTCGGGTGCGACCTGGGGCTCAGCGCCACCGTGTCAACTCAGTGCCACGTCCGGGCTTTCCTTAAACGCCTTCCAGGGATGGGACTCCACCGCCTCGCTGGGCAGCCCGTTCCGATGTCCAGTCACCCTTTCGGGGAAGAAATTCTTCCAAATGTCCAAGCTAAACCTTCTCTGAGACCGCTTCCTCTCATCCTGTCACTTTTTACCGGGGAGAAGAGACCGACCCCCACCTGGCTACAACCTCCTCTCAGGGAGCTGTAGAGAGCAACAAGGTCTCCCCTGAGCCTCCTCTTCTCCAGGCTGAGCCCCCCCAGCTCCCTCAGCAGCTCCTGGTGCTCCAGACCCGTCCCCAGCTCCGTTGCCCTTCTCCGGACCCAAATGTTAATATTTTTGTTAATAAATATTAACAAATGTTCACGTTTATTTGATGTTAATAAATGTTAACATGTTTATACTGTACCCGTCGGGACCAGGTACAAATCATCTGCTTAGGAGACGTGGGGAGTGAGGTGGTTTTTTACAGGTGGCCATGAAGTTTGTTTTTCAGAGGCAAGCGTGTAGCTCAAATCACAGAATGGGTCAGGTTGGAAGGGACACAGAGGGTCGCTTGGACCAACCTCACTCCTCAAGCAGCGTCATCCCAGAGTACACGACACAGGATTGTGTCCAGATGGTTCTGGAATGTCTCCGGTAAGGGAGACTCCACAACCTCTCTGGACAGTCTGTTCCAGTGCGCGGTCACAGCACAGTAAAGAAGTTCTTCCTCATGTTCTGGTGGAATTTCCTGTGCATCAGTGTCTGCCTATTGCTTCTTGTCCTACTGCTGGGCACCACCAAGCAGGGCCTGGTCCATTCTCTGACACATTCCTTGCAGATACTGATAGATATTGATGATGTCTCCTCTCAGCCATCTCTTCTCAAGGCTGAACAGGCCCAGCTCCCTCAGCCTTTCCTTGTACAAGAGATACTCCAGTCCCTTAATTTTGTAGCCTCCACTGAACTCGTTCCAGGAATTCCATGTCTCTCTGGTACTGAGAAGGTACAGGCTTGGCTGCTTCTCCCGGAGCAAGTACTCTCTGTCTTTTTCCTAAAAGGCATGTCTGGCTCTCTAGGAATTCCCAGCACTGCTGTTTGCTGGTCCATGAGGAGATAAACTGTGGTGTGCCTGCCCTGCTCCCACCCTCCTCAGTACCTGCCATAACCCAGAGCCCACTCCAAATAATGGCTCTTTTGTGGGCCTGTCATAGTGTAAAACCAAGAGAAAACCTTTGAGAAAACATGGTGGCATATTTAACATAAATAAGGAATTGCAACCTCCTTTTGCTCCTAGAAAAAATGAATTCTAATGCATATACAAACCTCTATTGCAACCTTGCTACGAAAAGGACAAATGTAATTTTAAATTTAATAACCTAAATGGGGAAAATCCTTCCGTTACTGGCACAGACCCAGGCAACATGAATTTTAGTAATGTTGGTTACGACTATCTTCTTTTTGCCCTAAAAAAGGGAAAGCTACTGCCCACGTGCATTTAAAAAAACCCTCATAAATGTATGTCAGAACAGTTTTACTTAACAGTAGCAAACCCATGGCATTGGCTCTCCATCCCTGGAAGTGTTCAAGGCCAGGTTGGATGGGGCTTGGAGGAGCCTTGTCTAGTGGAAGATGTCCCTGCCCATAGCAGGGAAGTTGGAACTAGCTGGTCTTTAAGGTCCCTTCCAACCCAGGCCATTCTGGGATTCTGTGATTCATTTCAGCTGCCAAACGGGGTTGCAGAAATGACCACTTTGTTTAATCCCAGCAATTTAAGCAGCTGTTCTTGTTGCAGTGCTTTACCGTGAAGGAAGACTACAGGCCCAGCCTTGAGGAATTTCTGCTCAGCAGCAGTGCCACAGCCAGTTCCTGGGGAAAATGACTTAAATCTCTGGGGCCTTGTTACATTCCCACAGTTAACACATTTAAACATTTTGCTGTGAGTCTTCAAATTGATGTGGTTTTTTTTCAGTGTAGAAAAAGTGATTCAAAATCTACCTGCGCTTTCCCTCTCCAAAACTAACACTCCCTAAACTTCAGTACAGGCAGAGATACCAGTATTGCAGGTTTCTGGGACTTGTATTTTAGGTTTGCCCGTTCTACTCCTATGACAAACACTTGCACAGGGAGCGAGTGCGATGCCACTGCTTGCATTGCATCCAGTTGTACAAGTTTCAACCTGCTGTTTGGCTTTGGCTCCTCCAGACAAGAGTCTTGCTGCTCCAAACCGTCCCTTGCAGGTTGGATCGGGCACAGATGAACAGGAGTTGGTACATGTTGGCTGATGGAATTAGCCCTGCTACCTGAGAAGGCTGGGAGCTCCTGCTCCTGAGTTATTATGCAGCTTTATCACAGCACTGCTTATGTTGTAATCCAGCAAGTGCTTGATCTTTTACCCGCCCAGGCACTGCAGGCATCTTTAATTATCCGAGGGTTAATTTGCATGGGAGCTTTTGCTGAAACAATAAATTCATACCTCTGTTATTATTTGGTATGAGTTTCTGTATCAATATTTATATTTGGGGAAAACCAAAGGAGCTTCCTGCTAGCACTAAGACAAAGGAATTGCTTCAGAGCAAGTTCAAGAGTCATCCAGCACTAAGAACATCTTCCAGTTCTTCTCAGGGGAAGAACAATTATAACATGTGGTGGGAGAACATGTGCTCCAGTGCCTCTTTTCTATGCAGGGATGAGGAGATAGAAACGTCTTGTCTGATGAAAAGCACGTTTTGCAAGGCTTGACAAATGCGATGTTCACCTTGAGCCAATGTGGTATGTATGATTTTAATGTTGGTAAGATTGTTTCTGCAACTCATCTTATAAAATTCCAGTCAAACAGCTCACTGTGTATGTTCAGCTGATGAAGGAATTGGGTGCTTACTTCAGATTAGAGGGGGAACTGCTGTCTGGGGGGGAAGTAGGGTGGGAGAATGTGCCAGAAGGGGCTGTCTCTGCCTGTGCTTGTCCCTTTGCTGCTGCAATGCAGCTCCCTCACCCCTCCAGACTAAAGTGGAGAGCAGAAAAGCAAGATACTGATGACACACTTGGAGCTGTAGAAAGTCCACACTCTTGCAGGGCATTGGGAAGCCAAATGGAAATTGAGGAAGCTCAGCTGTACTGGCAGCACTGCTGTAACATTGGAAACAGGTCCCTTCCCCTGAGCATGGGTTCAACCTCTCCACCCCCACTACTCCCATTCCTGTGCCAGTTATGAGATAGCTGTTACAATCCATGTATCCTTTCTGGTTTTACTTTAGGAACACTGTGAAGTGTGTACAGTATCTTCTATCTGTGTTTCTTTGTATGCTACATGAACTAAATCCCGAATAATCCTGTGGAACAAGGAATGGTTTCATCTCCCTGTCACAGATCCGAGGTGGAGGCACAGACAAAACAATACTTTGCAGGGAATTACAGTACCATCTTAGAAGAAGATCCAGGTTTTCATCATGACTCCTGACATTTGTCCTTGCCAGTAAAACATATCCCCCTTTCAATGCCACAGGATGTTTTATAATAGGGGGGAAAAAAAATGTTTTAGCAGAACTGTTCTACATTAAAAGGAAGCATTTATTTTCATTGGTATCAGCTCAGTGAAGGCTTGACCCTGGGATCACAATGGGAGTTTTATCCTTGACTTTAATGGAAGAATAATCAAGGTCTCGTGATATTACATCCTAAAGAAAGGCAAATACTGCAGTTTGTATCAATAAGATAAATGTCTCACATTTAGTGTAAGCTGCTATATTCTTGCAATAAATGGTTTATTAGATTGATTAGATGTCTTAACTTCACCTCAGCTATTAATCACTTTTGGCAGCTGTTTACTGCTTTGTATACTTTGAAGTAATGGAGATTATTCCTTAATTATCTCATTGCAGTTCAGTCATTGTTT